TCTCCTCCTCTCCTCCTCTCTCTCTCTCTCTCTCTCACTCTCCCCCTCTCGCTGTTTCTCTCTCTCCACTCCCTGCACACAGTGAATTTCTGTATGTCGCTCTCTCTCTCTCTCTTTCTCTTTTTATGTCTCTCCCTCACTACCTCAGCGCACCTCCCTCGTTATTCACCCACCTCCATTCCCTACTTCATCCACCTCCCCCACAATCACCTCGTGCGACGTCATGGGACCGATGGATGATGTCGTTGCAAATTATTCCGATTTATAATACTTGGCTTTAAAGCTTATCATCTCATTCTTCATTATCTTGCGTATCAATTTCTCGGAGGAAAATTGATAAGCGGCGCCCTGGAAAAAAAAGAAAGTTGTAAAGATGAGTACACTGTGGCAGGGAGGAGGGGAGCAGAGGGTAAGAAAAGATGAAGGAGGATTATCGCCCTTATTGTCATCGGGAATTTCGCAGGTGAGGAGTTAGTAGTGTTAACGTGGCACTTACTTAGCACAACAATGACTCGGATCATGCGATTATTTCTCTTCCTGTCGATGTATGTTCAACTATGTTGGTGCTTAGCAGAAATCGTTAACAATGAGGTGCAAATGTCAGAGAACGCAGTGCGCGTTGGAAGGCATGGGAAGAGGACTGTAGCGGGGGCAGAGGAAAGAGACAGGACAAGTTAAAGGAAGAGGAGGTAGAGATGGGGAAGGAGACCGGATGTTAGAAGACGACAGCAGAAACCAGAGGCCGAGGCCGACGGCAGTGGCAGCAGAAAAGGAGGCATAGGAGGTGAAGAAATCAGAACAGGGAAAGTAGAGACAGGAACGGGGATGGATAAGTGAGAAACGGGGAGGAAGCCGAGAGGGAAAAGTAGAGGTGAAGGAGGAGTAGAAATTTGAGGAAGAGGAATTACGGTAGAGAAGTAGTTGGAGAGGGAGGAAGAAGAGGAGGCAAAGGAAAAGGAGAAATAAGAGGAAGAATCCGCAGAGCAGAGAAAACAGAGCAACGGAAGCAAATAATTTTATAAAAAGTCCGAAGATGAAAAGAAGAAGGAAGCAGAGAAAAGAGGCCAAGATGCGAAGAGGAGTTTGTAGAAGGAGGGGAACTACGAAACATGCCCCTAACGTACGTACAATGAGTTCATGCACCAGGTAGCCGGTGGTACGAGACTGCAAGCCGACGGTAGCGATGGCGCTGCGAACATAGGTCTCCGCTGTCGGACAGTCCGCACTCACATCCTTCTCCAACGTCATGTTCGTCGACACGTATCCGGGC